ATGGTGAAGGTTAAAAAAATAAGAGAAAAGGGAGATGCTAAAGGAAGCGAATCAAATGTCTACTTACGCGGAGTTGATCTAACCCCATCCTTGTTCTTAGGATGTGGTTGTTAGCGTTGTTGGTTCGGATCCGGTTCGGATTTTGTTCCTGGAACCATTTGTGTACATGTGTGTGTTTCGAAACAGAGAGAGAGAGAGAGAGAGAGAGAGAGAGAGAGAGAGGGAGAGAGAGAGTGTGTGTGTGTGTGTGTGTGTGTGTGTGTGTGTGTGTGTGTGTGTGTGTGTGTGTGTGTGTGTGTGTGTGTGTGAGTGTGTGTGGTGCGAGTCACTGTGTATTTGAGAGAGAGAGAGAAAGAAAAATGGGAGTGAGAAAGAGAGAGAGAGAGGGAGAGAGTGAGAGAGAGAGAGAAAAAGGGAGAGCGAGAGAGAGAAAGAAAGAGAAAGAGAGAGAGGGAGGGGGGCGGGCAGCTAAACCAGTTCCACTTGCAACCAATTGTTTAGTCCTGGCATAGGCGCCGTGTCGTAGGATGTAAAATAAAGACATTCTTCACGTGACTCATCAATTGCAGGTAGGGTCAGCCCGTACAGACATTCCGTGAGCCGCTGACCGCCACATACGCCATGCATATCGTCACAGCGTTCCGATGTGTCTGAATCAGCCATTACTGCAACTCTGACAATTTTCTCGACAACACGTCTCTGCTAGATGACGTGACCTGGACCTATCGTGTGCCGTCAGCTCTCAAAATACTTCGTAGATGAAATGTAGCGGTGAAAGAAAGATGGCCGTTAGTGATGGCACTGTGCATGCCCAGGGTCGGGAGTTGACCAACATGTGGGCGGTGTCCGGCTAAGATCTGTCGGCACTTGTGGGACGTCAGGCGAGCGTGGAGGGCAATGGTGTGGAACATGATAGCACAGTCGGAAGGGGATTTGGTTGGGAGGAGGTGGTGTGTGTGTGTGTGTGTGTGTGTGTGTGTACGTGTGTGTGTGAGTGTGTGTGTATGTGTGTGTGAGTGTGTGTATGTGTGTGTGTGAGTATGTGAAAGAAGGAGAGAGAGGGAGAGAAAGAGAGAGAGAGAGAGAGAGAGAGAGAGAGATGAGGGAGAGAAAGAGAGAGTTGGGGAGGGAAGAGAGAGAACGAAAGAAACAGAAAGAGAGTGTGTGTAAGTAAGAGAAAGGAAAAAGAAAAAGGGGGGGGGGGGATAGAGGGACACCAAGACAGACGTGGAATAGATTTATGTTGTGGCCTTGCAGCCTGAGGAACAGCGTGAACACACACGGTCGTAAATTTAATTCCTTGCTGATTAGTCATTTTAAAAGCCACCATACTAGCTTGTTCCTGATTCATTTCAGCCTGGTAAGACAGACTGTAGACTATTGTAATAGGGAAGAATGGCTTATAAAGTTGAGGCTTTCACCAAAAAAAGTATCCACCTGTGTTTCTATATTAATAATATGCTGTATGCTTCCCGCGAAGAAAAGAATGTTTCTGGGTTTTCGGGATTCGGTGGTGATAATAATGATAGATTGTTACGCGTATAGAGCTTGCCGCTGACCGGGGATATGCAATACGCAAGTTCCACATATTCAACAACAACAAAAAAGTTATCATTAGTTTTAACTCACTCATGCGAAGAGCATAAGGGACGTCGGTAGCTTAGTGGTTAGGCTACCGGACTCGTAGTTATGAGGTTGCGGGTTCGGAGGTTCGAGCCTCAGCTCGGCCCAACGTTGTGTCCTTGGGAAAGGCACTTTACACCAAATTCCCATTTGGCTCGGTCCTTTCGGAGATGGACGTTAACCTCGGAGATCCTGTCTCTTAAATAATCTAATCATGTTGATAGGGGGCTTTAAACCCATACCAATTCACCATATTAAAGAGCGTAAATAGGTCTGTTTGTCACGAAGTATGACATTTCTCAAGCACCGCCAGCTGTTGATATGGTCATGGCCAAGCAGAACAAAACATGCCTTTAAGGCCGGACCACTCAATGTACGAAACATAATAATGTGTGTTGTAATCACAACAATCAGTCTCTTTTTGTAAAATACAATGCAACTTCCAAATTTACTTTAAAGGTGCGCTTATTAACCCTCATTTCGTGATGTACGGCAACAGCTTTAGACTCATTGGTAACTCTTAGTACAATCCATGTTATCTAACTTTAATTTAAATGTTGAACTACTGGGTGGTCCAAAAAGAAACTGTACAACATTTTTTTGGTAAATATTTTCCTCCACACTGAAGTTTGCGTTTCAAATCTGTACACAGCATTTGGAAGTCAAAGGGAATTTATATGATATTCATTTTAGATCAATCTTCAGAATAGTTTTACTCTACATAGTGCGTACAAAAACAATCCTTTTCGGCTATGTCCACATTTTTGTAGCATGACACACTAGTTTGCATTAGACATACCACTAAAAATCCAAACGTTTTCCCCATATTGCAAACTTCAGCAGTCTAACAGGCCAACAGAAGTTTGCAGATAGTTTTCTCAGGTTTCCTTTGCCTGCTGAGATCATGGTTAAGATTAATAAAGAGCAGAGAGCGTTTTTCATTGAACATTTCCTCACCACCAACTCATTTCGAGAGTTTCGCACAAGGTACGGTAATAATGTTAAAGTGCCCGTATGGCCTTCTATGATGTCAAGGGTGGAAATTGTCCATCAGTTAGGACCTGTAGAGAATCAGAACTAAAATTCCCAGACAAAACGACCACTTCAGGTCAAACACACACCGCTCGCACCCCCTTTAAACGTCACCAGGGTGCATAATTCAGTAGATGAGCGGCATGAGACGTCTGTCCGTAGACGATGTCTGCAGCAATAACTTTCCTACATCTCAACGGTCCTCATTCTCAAGGCAGATCTTGATCTACGACTGTACCATTTTCCCGTTCCCGAAGCTATCAGAGGATACCAATGTGTTCATGATTCCTCGATCGTCTTGAAAAGTATGAACATATCCTCTATGACATTTGGTTCCTTGGCAAAGCACATATTCACCTTTCAGGTTATATCAAACCGCAAATGTTGTCTATTTGGGCAACCTCACCACCACCACCCCCCACCCCCCCCCCCCCCCCACTTATTATCTCTAGAAACAGCTCCATACTATAAGATGTACAGTGTGTGTGGCTTTGAGTACTCATGGTTGAGTGGATCCTGGTGTTTGGCCCCCACTGAACATTACGAACATCGAGTTAAAATGTGTCGAGTCCAAAGGAGGTAAAGACCATTGGTTCTAGGATTTCCAGAGAAAAAAAATTGAACTCTGTAGGAGGAAATATATATTGTTTAATGGTTACATGGATGGAAAGATTAGATTTTAAAAATAAAAGGAAACAAAAACCCGATCATTTTGTGACTTTCCTTATAAGATTTTATTTTGAATTGGTGCATTTTGCATTTATAATAGGTGGGGGGGGGGGGGGGGGGGTTTATATATAAAAGCCATTTTCGCTTTCTAAAATAAGTTTCTTCTTTGTAAATTTCATGTCAAACAAACTCATTTTGAATTAATTATATCTGTTCCAAATTAAAACATTCTAGTACAAACAAATTTTGTGGGAGATATTCAGCAAAAAGGTTGTACTGTTGTTGCTGTTTTGTTGTTAATTTTTTGGGGGGGATCACCCAGTGTTTTAAACACTATTTATTGTATGGACTGGTCATTTCTACTCAGTTTTGGTGTTTAGTTCATGCAAATATGTTAAAAGGATCGGAGTTATAGAGAAATACGTATTTCTGAAAAGTTGTAGTACAAATAAATTGTCGGTGCACAAACATGAAACAGATTCTCGTAGACTAATAGTTAATCAAATCACAAAGGAGCAGAGAAAATGTGATGATCTGTGATGAGTATATTATTATAATATTCTTTTGGCGTCTCCTTGGGGCGGTAAGGACTAATCACACAGATCATCGCACCTAAACCTTGCATCCCACTCCGACTAAATTGTTGGCCAATGGTTTAGTCAGTGAATTGTGAGCAATGGAATTAAGAGAAGTTTTTCCTCTCATTTCCATCGTCGACAATTCGCCGACTTTAATAACAGATTATCAATTATTCTAAGAATAGTTTAACGCCGCTATAGAATTTGAGTACATTATTTTAGGCTGTTGCTGTGATGTTTTGTAATAATGCGTTGACCAATTGTTTGGTTGTTTTTCTGTTTTTATTTCTTTCTTTCTTTATTTTTTAGGAGGGGGGGGGGTAGTAGTACGGTACCACGGTTTACAGTTTAATTTTGTTTTTAGGATATTAATAAGAACATAAAAAATGAGCTTTAGATGTAGGGGAGTCTGTTGGGTAGGCTACTACTTAGATTTTTTTTCGTCGTTGCACGAAGTGGGGGAGTGGGTTTGTTGGGGGGGGGGGGGTTATCAAAAGGAATATCTCCGTCAAACTACTGGGATGTTGTATCCCACTAAGCCTAGGTTGGCTCTAACATGAAGGATAGAAGCAACCGCCCACTAAATGATCTTAACGTTGTTAGTGTTACAAAGTACAAATTACAAGATTTAAAACTTTTTTTTCTTGGAGCAGACTTCGGCCCCCCAAGTGTGATCTTGTGTCAGTGTCAGTCGAAAAAGTTAATCGCTTTGAGCTCCGATAACGTTGTCCAGTCAGCGATCAGCACAGACGCTTGCCTGACTTGATTTAACAGTTTATAATTCCGAATTAGCAAAGTCTTACTCTTTTTAGAGGTTTGGATTTTGAACTTGCTTAAACAACTTTCACTAAAAATACGTTACACACACACACACACACACACACACGCACACACACACACACACACACACACACACACACACACACACACACACTCACCCTTGTACGTCTCCCCCTCTCCCCCCCTCTCTCTCTCTCTCTCTCTCTCTCTCTCTCTCTCTCTCTCTCTCTCTCCCCGCTCTCTCTCTCTCATTACCAATCCAGATATGCGACATGGACTTCTTGCAGAATTTTGTACATAATGAGCACAACATTTCCACTCTTTACGAACATTTCAATGTTTATTTTTCATGATTCAAGACATAGTTCCATAGTAATACATTGGAAAATGAGGATACATAATGAACATAGGCTTACATCGCTTAGTCTGCAAGTGTTGACTTGTGGAAGATCTTGACCTTTGTAAAGGCCAACTGTCAAAAGAGATTATGTTTACAATTTCATAAGGGGGTCTTAAGGAAAACATTTTTGCATAAACGTTTTAAATATGAGGTGGACATGAAATAACAATGCTGATGAAGAGTGAAAAGTTAAATGAAAACGGAAAGAGGAAAAATGACGATTGTAGTGAAGACAACAGCAATGTCGATTCTGATAATGAGGTCTAGATGGAAGAAAGAGAAGAAGGCAAAGAAAAAGGAGAAGAGATTAGAAAATAAGAAGTGAAAGAGGAGGTAAAGAAAAGGGTGGAGGAGGAGAAAGAGGCATGGGATGGGATTTTGGGTTGAAACTGGCGAAGATGAACTGAAATGATGATGATAATAATTAGTGATATAATAAGACTGAACAGCAGACGTAAATAGTAAATTAAAAAACCCCACAAAGGGCAAAGATTGATACAATATTCAATTACACAAATAGAATGTTCAGAGTCAACATGTAAACATCAATCCCCAAAAATTCACCACGCCTGACCACCGAAGTGTTGGCAATTTTGTCACTCCAGGGTTGGACGTTTCAGACCAAAGTCATAGGGAAACCTGGCGTCACAAAAAAGGTCACTACGGTTTCTGTTGTAGAAAAACTTTAAGTGCCGTTCAGTGTCATGAACGAGGCTGTCCCAGATAAAGTGGCTGCTGAAGTCTGAAATATACGGGGTCTCTTGTTGGAGGAACCGAGCGCTGATGGGATAGAGAAATGTTGGTTCATGACTTTTATAACAAGTCAATTGTTTTAAGAATAGTTCTACATCAGTGTAGATTTTGAGCACTTTTAAGCTGGCGCAGTGAAATTTCGTGGTAAAGTCTGAGATTTTTCGGCCTGACATGACCTAGAATCGTTGGAAAAATATATTTCGAGCTTGTTTAGGCTGTGCCTCGGCGTGGCATCAGCTCTGTAGGTACATCGGCGACATGGGTGTTTTCATGTAATAGTTGCCCATGTTGTAGGGCTGTGAGGAGATGGCGTTAGGCATAGCGTCCGGTGAGATGGGCATGTGCTGACCGCTCATGGCGTGCGGAGCGCGGGGGAAGCCCAGGATGTCGTGGACGGAATGGGAGGACGGCCAGGCTCGCATCATACATGGTGAGGGGCAGCCTGGCGGTGACGCCTTGTGGTGGTGGTGTACGCCTGGAACCTGCAGGGGGCTCATGCCCGGCGGGACGCCCCCCGAACCCTGGGCGTGTGGCGGGTGGCCTGCAGGCATCATCTGGGGCGGGGGCATGGCGGAGGGGGCGCCCATACCCGGTCCCGTGGCGCAGGAATATGGGTAGAACTGAGGGTTGTACAGGCTGCCAGGGTGGTTCTGGCCTGGATGGCCGCTGGGGTGGTGGGCGTGGTGTGGGTGGTGGCCTGGGGGCGGCGACGTCTTCTCGAACTGTGATCCCTGCACCGGGCTGGCTCCTCCCCCTCCCCCTCCTCCCCCTCCCCCCGCTCCACCGCCAGGCATCGCACCACTAGAGCCGGGCCCTATCTTATTGCGAAGAATCCTACTGATGGAGCTGACAGAGGGCACGTTGTATTTGTCACACACGCCGTCCGCCAGAAGCTTATCCCTGATCTCCCAGGCGAAGATTCCCGGGTCACGTTCCTTGTACACCTTGATGTGTTTCACCACGTTGGGTGTGGTGACGCGGGGTTTGGAGCCCCCGATAGCCCCTGGTAGGATGGAGCCTGTCTCGTTGTAGCGTGCTAGAATCTTGGAGACACAGCCGTGAGAGACGCGGAGCTGCCTGGAGATGTCACACGGCCGAACCCCCAGCTGCGCCAGCTCCACAATACGTAGGCGGATGGCGTTGGGGAGTGGTCGCCCGTTGACGAACACACCGCCCAGCTGGTTCACCTCGCCGTATGTCTGGTGCTCTGAGGGAGAGAGATAGAGAGAGAGATCATGAAGGAGGCATCTCTTATTACTGTCACAATATAAATCGACTATTATCAGAAAACTAATCATGTATTCAGTTTTAACATTATTATTGCTAATAATTGTTCCTTTATGCCATGTTATGTTTGTGGCTGTTGGTCTGTCTGTGACCATAATATATTATCATAAGCGTATAACTATGTATTTGTGTGCGAAGGAGAGGATGTGTGAGAGAATATGTTGTATATGTGCTTGAAAAGGTGCCTGCGTGTACGTGTGTGTCGTGGAGAGGGGGGGCATGTGGTAGCGTGTGTGTGTGTATGAGTGTGTGTGTGTGTGTGTGTGTGTGTGTGTGTGCGTGCGTGTGTGTTTGAGAGAGAGAGAGAGAGAGAGAGAGAGAGAGTGTGTGTGTGTGTGTGTGTGTGTGTGTGGTGAAACATCAAACAAATGTTCTATAGTCTGAATAATTAAGAATATTTTATTCTTTTCTCACAATATCATCTTACCTCTTTATCCTTTCATATATTATCGTATTTTGTCATTATGCACTAGTGTGGTCGTGCGAACATTTATTAAGGCATGTTTACATTGGTGTGGTCATGACGTTTTCTATCTATTTATCTAATGCGAGAAACGAAAACATGTTCTGTTTTCAGGGAATATCTTGAGGAATTAAGGCGACAAGTTTTCAAGAAACTGTAATCAGCTCCACCCTCTCTATGATAAGATTGTTTTTTGTTTCGGGGGATGGGGGGGGGGGTACTCTTGCGCCGCTTCGACTTAATTGCCAGGATTTGTTACAACATTTTGAAAAAAAAGGGGGAGGGGGCTTGTTATGAGAGGAGAGGACAAGCTGGAGAGTGGGAAGGAGTGGCGGCTCAACACATTAAGATGACAAACGTCTCAGAGAAATACATCTCTACAACTTGCCAACTCCTTGTGCAATTTTTGAAAAACTGAACAACAGGAAAACTATCAAGGACATTGTATGTAACTAGTTAATAAACTTGTCAATAAACTTTGGCAATGTTCAGAACCCCTCATGAAGTCTAAGACATTCTTCAAAAGCGACGTTTGTTCCTATTTTTTTATGAATCTATTTTTTTCAATTATTATTTGGGGATATTTTTTCTTTCTTCTTTTCATTTCTTCATCTATACTATAATAAGGAATCTTTTGTCTCCTTTTCCCGTTTAATCTCCAAGCGACATCTCCCTCTTTCATACCACACAACACAGGGAATCGTGGAACTCTGCTTTCTTCAGCTTTTAGCTCCGTTATTTCAGCGTTCATTTCTCCAAGTTTTCCATCATATTTTGAATCACCATTTGCCCTCCCCTCCCCCCAAATCCTCGTTTTCCCATCTACTACCTCCCCTCCCCCAACACACACGTGTGAGCGAAACAATCTGTAAACAGTCCGACCGTTAACCACAACATCGTGGGAAATGGTGCGAGGGGTGAAGCGGCGAAGTGTTGTCTCTGCAAACTCGACGTCTTTCGGAGTTTTCCACACTATGGCATCTGAGAGAGTTAGTCCACGCATAATCTTAGTGTAGCTCAGCGCAAACACAACACAGGCTCTTACAACACTGCCCTCGCGGACACATGATTGGAATTGCCATTAGCAAAATCACTGTGTCATGATTTTGTTTTTATTTCGAAGTCGAGAAAGAGTGCGCGCGTGGGTTGGGGTATGTGAGGATACGTGCGCCTGGGAAAGGGGGATGAGCGGTGTTTCACGTCTGTATAGCATTTTTCCCCATTTGTCTTTCTATATTCCCCTCCACCGCCTTTCCCCTGGTTTCCGTTCCCCTCCCATATATCGCCTTCCAGGATCTCACGGGCAAACCATCACAGATCTTACTCCCCCTCTCTCTCTCTCTCTCTCCCTCTACACAGAAACCGGGGTGAAAAAAATGCAGATAATTTCTCGTTTACGCCTGTGGCCTGGACTGTAATCGTATGACGAGTCTCCGGTCGTGAGTTCTCAACTCTCAAGTCTCACCCACCGAAGAGTGAGAACACAGCTTAGTGCTCACGGCCGCCCGCCCTGTTGTCCTCAATGTCTTCTGAAGCTTTTGGGAAGTTTCGGATTACATACAAGTAATTGTTTTTACTCTGCGTTTCGTTTTAACATCTTGGCCCATCGCTCACACTATAATGTTTACCTAGTGGGAGCCAGTTGTATACAGCGGGGCAGACTTCACACTTAACGTACTGCTAGCTCCAATAATGGCCACAAACATTTTAAAAAGACAGGATCTCAAAAGAAATAAATAATCAATTGAAAGGGTCAGAAAAATTAAAGGTCATAGTCACATTTTGCTTCTTTAAAATATAGAGGTCTTAGTATAGTGCATGTCAGAGGAGACTACATAATTCAGCATTTGAATAAAACGACAGGATGGCTTTAAATGAGTTGTGGCACTTATAAACTCATCAAACTCGGTAGTACATCATGCTTTAGTCCAGTTGCTTTATTTTAATTTTTTCAAATTTTTTTTTAACGGCCTCGGAGTGATTTACACCCTTTTTTCTTCTGACCCCTTGAACTTCTGTAGCCCCTGGAAATAAGTTAAATATTTCTTACATAAAAGTACTGATACATTAAGGTGGGGAAGGGAGGGTGTTAAGGAAAGAGGAGTGGGAGAGAAGAGAAAGAGGAGACAGAAGAGCGACCAAATTAAGCCTTAACACCTTTCGTCTAAAGTTTTATGCGTGTACGCATGCAATAGCGGCCAAAATAGTCATAAACATGCTGATAAGCTCAGAGATACCATTTTTTTTTCTCTGATTCTCTCTACCGTTGTCCTAACAGGCAAACAACATCTAGTGGACAGGACATTGAACAAGTCAGTGTTTTGTTTCTCCTCCGCGCAGTTACACGTTCTCTATCCAGCAGCGTCACGCTTAATTAACTGGGCAAACGTCTGTGATGTATATGTAGGCGCTTCTCTTTCAGGGCCTGGTTCAATTCTTAAGTGGGGAAGACATTGCATCGAGTACTCGGCCTTTGTGTTGATGCTGTACCCCCCCCCCCCCCACAGCTCGAGTTTATGCAGAATGCAAGGTCGAACAGCCCACTTCCTATATGTCGATGAAATTCATTGTTAACTTTTAATCACACGTCAACACATCAATGTCAGTGGAAGGGTAAAACATATGCAACTACACACACAGTCAAATGGGAAAAGTAAATGTACGGTTTCCACTAACGCTCTGCGTGCGCTAATACCCCCTCCCCTCCCCTTCCCCGGTTCTAATCTTCCTCCCTTCCCCATCTAACCCTGCGAAACCCCATCCCCAATATCTATACCTCAACCTCTTTATTGAC